TGTCTCTGTGTCTCTCTGTCTCACTCTCTCTGTCTCACTCTCTCTCTCTCTCTCTATCTTTCAGATGATGACTGGTGAATGGCTGCCACCTGAAGGAGGAGATATTCATGGTCCCCCAGCCAACAATGACATTCTGGGACATGTGGTTGCACGCATCTTTGAGATAGTTCATCCAACCAAGCCACCAACGCCACCTCCTGCGTTTCCTCCATTCCCCATCAAGGCATGCATTCTAGGCAAGGTTCTTGCAGGCAAAAGCGCCTGCCTGAAATATTTAGCAGAAGGTATGTGTAGCAACACATCCAGTCTGAGGGGAAACATATCCAAACATACAGACAGACAGACACACACACAGACATACAACATACACACACACACACAGATATAAATACACATACATACATATAGACAAACACACACATTCATAGATGCAAATACAGACACACATGCAAACAGGCACATACACAGGCAGAGAGTCACGCACGCAGCAAAGCAGACACAGGCACACATGCAGACTGACTCACAGACATGCAACCACACAAATAGCAGACATGCAGACAGGCAGACACTGATGGAGAAAGACACCTACACACCAACACTCACACAGACACAAATACAGACAAGCCACATATCTACACGCACATACACAAAGGCACTCACACAGACACCCACGTTTCCTTCTCATGATACTCTTCCTGAGCTGATGGCTTCAGTGTTGATACACAGGAGCTGCTGTTTCCTGACAGAATGTGTATGAATAAAAACCGAAAGAACTGCGGATGCTGTAAATCAGGAACAAAAACAAAGTTGCTGGAAAAACTCAGCAGGTCTGGCAGCGTCTGTGAAGAAAAAATCAGAGTTAACCTTTCGGGTCCATTGACCCTTGCTCAGCAGACCCAAAACATTAACTCTGATTTTTTCGTCACAGAAGGTGATGGCCTAGTGGTGTATCACTTGACAATTAATCTGGAGACCCAGATAATGTTCTGGGGATCCAGGTTTCACTTTCACTGGTGATGGAATTTGAATTCAATAAATATCTGGAATTAAGAATCTAATGATGACCCATCTGGTTCACTAATGTCCTTTAGGGAAGGAAACTGCCATCCTTACCTGGTCTGGCCTACATGTGACTCCAGACCCACAACAATGTAGTTGACTCTGAACTGCCCTCTGGGCAATTAGGGATGGACAATAAATGCAGCCTGGCCAGCGATGCCCTCATCCCATGAATGAATTTTTAAAAAGGCAGCAGATTATTGAAATTGAGAAGGAGGGACCGAGGAATCTGGATGTCCTGGTGCATGAATCATAACAAATTAGGATGCAGCTGCAGCAAGTGAAAAGGAAGGCAAATGGAATGTTGTCATCTTTTGCATGAGGAATGCAATATAAAAGTAGGGAAGTTTTACTGAAGTTGTATGAGAACATTGGAGTGAGAGGGAAAGGCACCTGGCGTGGTGGAGGGGTTGGTGGGGAATATGGAGCTAACAATGGAGTCACGGAGAGAGCGGTCCCTGCAGAAATCAGGCAGGGGTGGGAAGGGAAATATCTTTTTGGTGGTGGGGGTCTGACTGTAGGTGGTGGAAATGTCAGAGGATGATGCATTGTATTTGGAGGTTGGTGATACCTCCCCTCCCATTTCTGTCACTACACCTGCCCCTACACCTCCCCTCTCATCTCCATCCAGGGCCCCAAACAATCCTACCAAACCCACTTCATTTAACCTCATCTACTGTATCTGTTCCTCCCAATGTGGTCTTCTCTAGATCAGGGAGACCAAATGCAGACTCGGGGACTGGTTTGCGGAGCATCTGCGCACTGCACGCACCAACCAACCCGACCTTCCTGTTGCCATCAACTTTAAACCCCCCACCACTCCCACTCCCCTGGTGATGTGTCCATCCTTGGCTTCCTCCACTGCCAGAGTGATGTGAAACGTAAACTGGAGGAACAACACCTATTTCACCTTGCGAACCTACAGCCCAATGGCCTGAATATTGACTTCACCAGCTTCAAAATCTCTCCTCCCCCATTCTGTCCATCTTCTGAGTCACCTATCCACTCCACCCCTTCCACTGACCAACCACAGTAACCCCCTTACCTGCATCCACCTATCTCCATCCCACCTACCCTCCCTGCAGCCCTATCTCTTCCCTCTATTTATTTCTGGGCTCCCCATCTTCTACCCCTCCCCAGTCATAACGAAGGGTTTCGGCCCGAAATGGTGACTGGAGTGGCATGGTAGCTCAGTGGTTAGCACTGCTGCCTCACAGCGCCAAGGACCTGGGTTTGATTCCACCCTCGGGTGACTGTCTGTGTGGAGTTTGCACATTCTCCCTGTGTCTGTGTGGGTTTCCTCCGGGTACTCCAGTTTCCTCCCACAATCCAAAGATGTGCAGGCAAGGTGGACTGGCCGTGCTAAGTTGCCCGTTCAGGGATGTGCAGATTGGGTGGGTTATAGGGGGAAGGGTCTGGGTGGGATGCTCTGAGGGTCGGTGTGGACTTGTTGGGCTGAAGGGCCTGTTTCCACACTGTAGGGATTCTATGGATTTCCTGCTCCTCGGATGCTGTCTGACTGGATGTGCTTTTCCAACTCCACAACTATTGATCCTAGCTTCCAGCATCTGCAATCCCTTACTGTCTTCAAGAATACTGAGTGGCTTGGATTGAGTGGACATGTAGGAGAGACTAGGACCCAGGGGACACAGGCTTAGAATGAAGGGACAACCCTTTCGAACTGAAATGAGGAGGAATTTCCTCAGCCAGAGGCTGGTGAATCTGTGGAACTCATTTCCACAGAAGGCTGTGGAAGCCAAGTCATTGAGTGTATTTAATGCAGAGATAGAGATAGATATGTTCCTGATTAGTGAGGGGGTCAAAGGTTACAGGGAGAAGGCAGGAGAATGGGGTTGAGAAACATTATCAGCTATGATCGAATGGTGGAGCAGACTTGATGGGCTGAATGGCCTAATTCTGCTCCTGTGTCTTATGGTTATTAAATATTTTTTAGGCAGATGGCAGTAGATTATTGAGTAACAAAACAGTCACTTCTTGATCGGGGTCAGCCACAATCAGATCAGCCATGATTGTATTGAATGGTTGAGCAGGATTGAGGGGCTGAGTGGCCTCTTCCTGGTCCTTATTCATATGCTTGTGTGACAAAAGCTTTTTTGAAGTGTTTGATCATGTCCCGAGCACCAGAACTCAGTGCTGAATTTGGAATGTATAATTTGAGCGTGTGCAGTGTGCATCAGGAGGCTGACAGTGATAGTTTCCATCGATATCTAGGACACTCCATCATGACAAGGCCGCCAAAGTTAATCCCCCGTGGTTATCATAATATATCTTATGCTGGGATGCTCATGGCACTGTGGTATTGTCCCTACCTCTGAGCAGGAGGCCTAGGTTCAAGTCCCCCCTAACCCGGAGATGTGAAAGACCATGTGTGAGCAGGCTGATTGGAGAATATCTAGTTACAGCCAGTATGTTGGACCTGCCCACCCTCCCTCCTGTACAGTTACAATGAAGAGACGCTGGCTGGAATGTGGATGGGGCTGATTTCAGAGGTGTATCCTTGCAATGTTTCACTCTGCAAATAAATGTTTGACAGATTAAAGATTGGCTCCTTGCTCTATCCTTCCCTCTATCATTGGCTGAGCTGCTATGCTAGCTCTTGATGTATTCTGTTTAATTTTGGTTTAATTCGTACACATTTGGAGTTGCTTGCTATATAACAATCTGATAAAGATGTATGTTGTTGATAGGAGGGGTGTATGTTAACTGTGCTCTGTATAGCCTCTGTTAAGAGCATGTTTTCCGGTGTTTCTCACAGCTCTGCAGATCCATGTCCTTGTGCCAGATGTATTGGTTCGTGAAGCTGTGCGAGCCTACGAGGAGTGTGAAACCACGAATCACACTCAGACCCAGGAAAACAGCACGGAAGTTGGCAAAGAACACCAGGTTGTAAAAACCAGTGAGGCTTCATTGACAGAATTCTATTCAATTCAATCAAACCAAACCTCAGTCTTCACCTCCCTCAAACCCTCTCCTCACCTCCCCCTCACCTACTCTTTACCTCCTTTAACAGCTTGTGTAGCGTAATCATGAATTGGAAGGCAGGAAGCTAGAATTTGTTTGTAAAAAATGATAGGGGAGAAGAGTGTATGGCTCCTTTAAGAGGTAAAGTGCTTTTCTAAGCTTTGAGATTTATATAGAAAATGTGTCTAAATAGCTGAAGGGGCATAGCCAGTTCTGAAATGGGAAACGTGTATCAATTGGCTGTGTGATTGGAAACCTTAGGTTTGTTTTAATGTTTTGGCAACCAGCTGGAATCAGCCAATTAATTATAACCAAGCACTTAGCAATTGAAATCCAATTGAATCTAAATCTGATGGTTTTGACAACCTCGGATCAATGCTATTGTAAGAAAATTGATATGTCATCAAGGTATATAAAGAGAGGGTTTTTGAAAATCAGTGTAAGAGTGAACCACTGTCTGAGAAATAAACATCTAGCTCTTACAAGAAATCATTGAGCGTCCTAAGAAAGCACCATGTATCCATAAAAGGTACCAGGCACTTCTAGGTAAGAGTCCTCACAGAAGACTTCACAGAGAAAACATCCCTGAAAGCTGGATCAGTGGAAGAAAGGCATTTATGACATGAGAAGAAAGGCGTGTAGACTTTGAGAGATTAAGTTTTAATTTATTTTCTTATTACTTGGGCTTATATAAGGGGGACTTATGTTTATTGGAACATCATACCAGTAGAATTTAGTTTAGTTAGGGAATAGTTAAAGGGGAATTGTTTGGTTTGTTAGTAATTAAAGGGGAATTGTTTGGTTTGTTAGTAATTCTGTTAATTTGTTCAATGTTGGGGTTAAATAAATAAATTATTAATTGTTACTTATAAAGTGAATATCAGGGATCTTCTTTCATTTAACCTCCCCTTCTCTGTAACAGTTTAACAGATTAGGTGAGGTGAAATGAGCTTCAGGTTCAATTATTAGAAGGGGACCTTTACTCCCACTGTAACGGCTGAGGGGCTTGTATTTCAATTATCAGAGGGGTTTGACCTCTTCTTCCTAACACCACCCCCTCCTGCTCTCCTTACCTTTCCCTCCTCCTCCTCCTCTTTTCACCTTCCCTGCCCCCCTCCTCATTGACCCGTCCCCTACTATCTGCCCCCTCCCTCCACCCCCCACCGCCTCAATTCCTGATCCCATCTCCTCAGCTCTCTCCAGCACTAACGCCTTCCCTCTCTGTATCCTACAATGAGTGAGGATGTAGCTTTGGGAGAGCAGAGACCCATTTTCACTCAGAAACTGGACAAATAGAAACATAGAAAACAAAGCCTGCTCATGGCTAATCAGCCAATTGTTCCTGCTTTCTCCCTATACCCTTTGATCCCTTTAATCCTAAGAACTATATCTACATGAATCTTGAAAGTCTTCAATCTTTTGACCTCAACCATTTCTTGTGGTAGGGAATACCACAGGCTCACCACTCTCTAGGTGAAGAATTTCTCCTCATCTCAGGCCTAAATGTTTTACCCCGTATTCCTAGACTGTGACCCCAGATTCTGAACTCCTTCTGAACTCCATCAATAGCCAGAATATCCTTCCTCAGACAGAGACCAAAACTACACACAATACTCCAAGTGTAGTCTCACCAAGGCCCTGTATAATGCAGCAAGACATCCTTGCTCCTGTACTCAAATCCTTTTTCTATGAAAGCCAATATATCATTTACTTTCTTCACCGCCTGCTGCACCTGCATGTTTACTCTCAGAAACTCCGAGGTCTCAGTGCACTTCCCCCTTTCCCAATCTATGACTATTCAGATAATAATCTGCCTTCCTAATTGTGCTACCAAAGTGCATCACATCACATTTATCAGGGATAAATTCCACCTGCCGCTGATCTGCCCATCTGACCAATCCGTTAAACACCTTCCTCCACCCGGCCAGTCTTTGTGTCATCCACAAACTTACTTACCATCTCTCCCGTATTCCCATCTCCATTGCTTATGAATATCACAAACAGTAAGGGACCCGGCACTGTTCCCTGTGATGTACCACTGCACACCGGGCTCCAACAAGACAAACAGCCTCCTACCACCACCCTCTGTCCCCTGTAACTAAGGTTCCAACTTGCCAAGTTACCCTGGATCCCATGAGCTTTCACCTTCTGTATCAGTTTCCCACGTGGGACCTTGTCAAAGGCCTTGCTGAAATCCATATAAACTCCATCAACTGCCCTACCCTCATCCAAACACTTCATCACCTCCTCGAAAAATTCCAACAGATTTGTTAGGCATGGCCTCCCTCTGACAAAGCCACACTGGCTATGCTGAATCAAACCTTACCTCTCTAAATGGAGATTAATTCTCTCCTCCATTATTTCCTCCAATAGTTTCCCTCCCATTGATGTGAGACTCACTGGTTTATACTTCCCTGGTTTAATACTACCGTCCTTCTTATAGAGTGGAACCACCAAAGAGTGGGGAGCCTGTGGGATTCTCTGCCACAGCAAGTGGTTGAGGCCAAAACATTGAACGTTTTCTTGAGGAGTTAGATGTAGTTCTTCTGGTTAAAGGGATCAAAGGCTACTAGGTGAAAGGAGGAACAGTGGACTGAGTTGATCAGCCATGATCATATTGAATGGTGGGGCAGGCTCGAAGGGCTGAATGGCCTACTCCTCCTTTTTTCTGTTTAAACAAAGGTTTTTTACATGGGCTGAATTAACCGTTTTCCTGGTTTTCTGCCTACTACTGAGCTTTAGTTAACATTCAAGTAAACCTATTCACCATCTAAAACAAAGACAGAAGTTGCTGGAGAAATTCAGCAGATCTGGCAGCATCTGTAGAGAGAGAAACAGAAAAACTTCTTTAGAGCCTTCTCTGAAGAAGGGTTACTGGACCTCAAAAGTTGACTGGTTTCTGTCTCCACAGATGTTGCTAAGTTTCTCCAGAAATTTCTATTTCTGTTTCAGATCTTCAGCATCTGCAGTTCTTTGTTTTATTCAATTTGCTGTTTTGTAGTTTTACTGCATTGTTAACTGATACACTCAAGTGTGTGACTTTAAGTTCCAATAATATTTTTATATAAAACATATTCCTTCCCATACAATCCTGTCTGACACCACTGGCCCCCTCCAATTCCGCTCTGCTCTTGTCCTGCACTCACCTGCTTCCATTCTTATCAGTTCCATTATAACCAGAGAGTCCTCTGCACTGACTTCACTTCTTGACCCCTCCTCCTGATCCATGTCTCCCAACTCCACCCACTCGCTATTCCACCACATCTCCTTTGCTCATCAATTGCCTGGATGGGTGCAGCCCCAACAACACAAAAAAAGCTTGACACCATCCAGGACAAAGCAGCCACTTGATTGGCACCACATCCACAAACATCCACTCCCTCCACCCCCGACGCTCAGTAGCAGCAGTGTGTACTATCTACAAGATGCACTGCAGAAATTCACCAACGATCCTCAGACAGAACCTTCCAAACCACGGCCACTTCCATCCAGAAGGACAAGGGCAGCAGGCATATGGGAACACCACCCCCTCCAAGTCACTCGCCATCCTGACTTAGAAATATATCTCCATTCCTTCATGTTGCTGAGTCAAAATCCTGGAATTCCCTTCCTAAGGGGCATTGTGGGTCAACCCACAGCAGGTGGACTGCAGCAGTTCAAGAAGGCAGCTCACCCCCACCTTCTCAAGGGGCAACTAAGGGCGGGCAAGACATGCTGGCCAGCCAGTGACACCCACATCCCACAAATGAATAAAAAAAGCTTCCCACACTCTCCTCTCTCTCTCGTTCCCATTACCTAACCATTCCTCCCCTCTTTATCACCCTCTTCCTTCTTCCCTCTCACTGCCCCTTCTCCCTCTCACTGCCTTTTCTCCCTCTCCTCCCCTCATTACTGTCCCTCTCACTGTCCCTTCTCCCTCTCACTGCCCCTTCTCCCTCTCTCCCCCTCTCACTGTCCCTTCTCCACTCACTATCCCTTCTCCTCCACTGCCTCGGTTTGCAGCCTCCTGCTGGGATATGTGAACATGATGATATTTTTCAGGGCCTGGACGAGGTGAGCACTGACCCAGGACCATTGGAACGTGCAAGTTTCATCGCATTGGAAGGCCAGGAAACTACAAGAAGTACTCTGGGAAGTTCCAGCAAGGACCTCTTCAGTGATCTCATGAAGAATGTATCAAAGGGGCGACTGACTGATCTAATTGAACTCGATTCACAAGACAGCAAAGGAGTTGTTAAAACTGGTAAGGGGAGCACATGGACAAAGGTGGGACCGGGGTGTGCTGGTGTGTGGGAAAATGGATAGGTGCATCACAGGCGTGATGTTCACTGTCTGCAAGGGTCACTGTCTGCAAGGGTCACTGTCTGCAAGGTTCACAGTCCCTGCGGGTCACTGTCTCCGAGGGTCACAGTCCCTGCGGGTCACTGTCCCCGAGGGTCACTGTCCCCGAGGGTCACTGTCCCTGAGGGTCACTGTCCCCAAGGGTCACTGTCCCTGTGGCTCTGTCCCTGAGGGTCACTGTCCCTAGGTCACTGTCCCTGAGGGTCACTGTCCCTGAGGGTCACTGTCCCTGAGGGTCACTGTCCCTGGGTCACAGTTTTTGACGGTCACTGTCCCTGGGTCACTGTCCCTGAGGGTCACT